ACCATATACTGCATGTGCCATGCCCAGGACATAAACCATGATGGAAGGATACGTTTTACGTAGGTACCTAATGGTGATTAACTAGAAATTTCCTTAGCTTTTTGATTATTATTATTTCTCTCTAAAGTCACAGTTGACTGTAGCAGTAAGGTACTTGATGCAAGAACCTTCTGAGGATCCGATCGATCCTTATGTAGTATCTAGCTGAGACTCCAGAATTACAGCAGATGAGATTAACCAATGCAATTTCAAGATATCCAAGGCACTCTTTTTGTTTGTTTTACCAAATGATAGTACAAATTCAAATCTTAATGCTGTTTCCTTTTTAAGGAATTCAAAAGCTGTCATTACTTTTATTCTGTAATAGGGGCCAATTAGTATTTTAACCCTATATGGACAGAACATCTTTTTGAAAGATTAGTTTAAGTGCGATATATCCAGCCCGTCCAAAGAGGGTTAAGCGATAGCCTGTAGTCCTCCATGTTACAACACAAAACTGTACATGATATGTATTACAGAATGTATGCAGCATGGTTGTTTTTTTCTTTTCTTTTTCTTTGATCTCAAAATAAAAAAAATAAAAATAAAGAAAAAAAACATTTGTAAAATAATGAACGATAAAACAGCAACACATTTACTAAACAACTAACCAACCAGGGACAATTTATTTTTAAAAATTAGCCAAAATATATCATGCATGCTGTCAAATTTTCCAAAATGGTAAAGAAAAAAGAAAAAGTACACAACATGTAAATTATTGCACACGAGAAAGGCTCCAAGTTTGCGTCAATGCAATAGTATTGCCCCGATACAGATCATGCATTCAACGGTAAATGAAAAGGGTGTGCTGGTGGTGCCAAGCACGTTGTCTTAGCCGCCACTGGACTAGCGAAACAGGGAAATCTACAAGGATGAGGGTGGGAGTGGGGTGTTATTCGCTGTTAACAGGCAAGTGATCTACCACACTCCACCGCTACTCAGTTTTAATTTCGTTGTCCAATGCAAGGTCACTGTGCCATTTTTTCATGTGTTTCTCAAGGGTGCTGTACACACTAAAAGGCATATGACAGATTTCACATTTGTAAACGTCCTTGCCCACTTGCCCGTGCGTTTTCATGTGCCGTGTTAGCTTGCTGCTCTGAGCGCAGGCATAATTGCAGAGCGCACACTTATAAGGCCTCTCACCCGTGTGGCTGCGCCGGTGCACTGTCAGATTGCTGCAGTTTTTGAATATTTTGCCACAGTACTCGCAGGTGTCACTGCGTCGGCCATCTTTTGAGCTGGGCCGACCAGGACCCCCAAGGTGTGGCGTGCTGCCGCCACTACCAGTTCCGCTGCGGCCCGAGATGCCATCCAGGTCCCCTGGTGGCGTAGAGAAGCGCAGGCTTCCATTCTCTGAGGAGTGCTCTGAAGACGAGGCGAAAGGCGATTGTCTGGAGTCCCCGAAATTCAGAAAGGGGTCCTTCAGCTGCCGAGAGGCAGCATAGCCAGCCAACCACTGGGAATAGACATTCTCAGTGTTGGGGATTGTAGAGGTGGAGAGGTCAAAGTCCTTCTCCAGCTTGATTCGTTTGGAGAAAGGACTACGTGAGCTGGGACTGCCCAGTAGGAGCTTCTTGGACAAACCAACAGAGGCAGACTCACTGGGGGATGAGCCTCGACCATTGATAGCTGAGCCACAGCCCTCATCCACTCTGTCTGATTCCAGAGCCGAGTCCTCATCACACATGTCCCTATGTGCATCATTGTCAGAGTTTAGGGCTCCTCGCTTGTGTTGATGAAATGCCTCACTGTAGTGCTGCATGCTGGCTGCCAAGCCCATGCCCTGCATAACCTCAGGCAGTGAACGTGGGATCCCGTCCTCACCCCCACCCAGACGTCTGCCGTTGTTCTCGTGGTGCCGTGCAGCCTCGAGGTTGAGGCTGAAGTGGTAGTTGTTTCTACCTCCCTCTCTCTCCAGCTCCTCCTCCTCTCCTTCCTCCTCTTCCTCTTCCTCCTCTTCTTCCTCCTCCTCCTCCTGTTCCTCTTTCTCTTCTTCCTCTACATTCTCTGGAATCAGACGGTTGTTTTCACTTTTGAATTTGGCTACCACGGACTTGAGGGCATTACTGGCACTACCCACTAAATCGCTGGTTCCAGGCTCAGGGGAGCTGGCTGTTGACAAGCCATCATCGGACTTGACCGTCATGGGCGATGACTTGTTCATGTGTGTCTTCATGTGCCGCTTCAGCTTGCTGGCCTGCGTACAGGCATGGTCGCACTGGTGGCACTTGTAGGGTTTCTCACCCGTGTGACTGCGTCGATGCACAACTAAATTACTCTGGAACTTGAAGGTCTTCCCACAGAACTCACAAGACTTGCTCTTCATGGGCGTGTTGGACTGTTGCGTAAGAGGGGTCGGGATGGACTGGGAGCCAGAGGGGGACTGCATGGAAGGTAGAGGAGGGGTGGAGAGAAAGGGTGGCTTGGTTCCTGACTGGAATGGTTGTAGTAGCCGTTGCATAGGGCTGGGCCTGTTGGGTGAGAGAGGAGGAGTTGACCCTGAGGTGTTACCAGCCAGCTCCCTCAATCTACGAGAGAAGTCCATAGCTGGGGGATCCATTGGTATGGGGTTGAGGCGCAGCACCCTGTCGAAGGCACTCGGGTGGTGGGTGGCCAAAGCCAGCTCCTCCGGGCTCAGGTGCTCCATGCGATGAGGGTCCAAGTGATGGCGGGGTGGAGGGCTAAAGAGAGGCGGCGTAGGGGGAAATCGACCCTCTCGGAGAGGGGGTCCATCGCGTCCAGAGTTGGGTATCCGCAGCAGGTTGAATGGACTTCCCTCTGGGAGATGGATGCCATGCAAGGGGGGCTGAGAAGAGCAATCTGCACCCATTCCTGAAGGAGCTCCCACACGGGGCGTGAGCGGACTCCCGCACTCACTCTCAAGGTAGATGTGGAAGCCATGAGTGTTCTGGGCATGTTGCAGCAGAAACCAGGCACTGCTGAACGGTTGCTTACAGGTTGTGCAAGTGTAGATGCTGGGCTCATCTTTACCTGCAAAACACAAAAGGGAAGAGTTAATTCTCTAACTGTACCAAAGAGATTAACTGCAACTCATTTAAAGGAAGAGCAGAATAGAGTAGAATAGAATAGAATAGAATAGAATAGAATAGAATAGAATAGAATAGATCTCTAGATCTGCTACATGTGTTTGTTCGTACTCATTCCCTTTCTCAGCTGCTCCCTAGTGTATTTCAGACCTACAAAAAAGCCTACAAATTGTGTCTTAATCATTTATGAACCTCTCTCATCTCCTGTCTAGACCTCAGGCCTGTGTAGCCCTCCATACTCACAGTCTCTCATCGGCTTTAGCCCCTCAGCAGGCTAAAGTAAGTATCACATAACAGTAAACACAGCTCTTATTATAAACATGCTCCCAAACAGCACTACAGGCCAGAACCCAGTGGAGCAGATCTTTTCACAACACAAGACCAGACAAAGCACTGGTAGTCCAGCAGAGAAAGACTGTGTTGGGGTTTAGCTCAGGTCTTTGCATGGGGTGATACACTCCTGCTTTCGGCTGTAGACAGTTCAGCCGGTTCTTGTAACGGTTGTCAGCAGAGCTATAAAAGCAAACAATAGTGCTCTCTCAAGCTGAACACTTTCATCCATGTACAAAAACAGATGAACAGGAACCATACAGTAAACAAAATCTGGAAGGACTACAGAAATATATCCTGTAAAGGGGCAACAGAGGAAACATGCACATTGTTAAGATGTGTTAAAGGTTACATTACACAAAATGCAGGTGTTTTAAGCCAGTGCAAAGCCATAGGAGAATAAGAACATTTGTTGCAAACACTTCACACATTGAAAAAAAATATTGTTTTGAAATTTGAATTCTATTTAATAAATTGTCTGCTCTTCAAATGCAAGCTCAAAAAGATCAGTTTAAGCAACAGTTGCTTAAAATGGAAATAAAGGATTCTACCAGTAGAATAGAAAAAAAGCAAAAAGAGAGACCATCTACTCCCTTACAACTGAAACAGTAAAGTGTGTAGACAATTGACCATATGCACAATTACTTCCTGGTTTTAGATAAGCCAGCTCAGTCATTTCCGGTTAACTGTACTGTGCCTTAAGGGAGCGCCCTTTGCTCGGTTTCTCTACATAATCCATTCACAATTTGGAGAAAAGTTTTGTTTGTCTAAGAGAACTACAGCAGCAACAAGTCTGTGTTGGATAAAACTTAAACGATGTAGTTGTTAAATTACATTTAAACATTTCTAAATATTGAATGCACTATTTAATTCTTATGCTTATTTAATTTGTATTTAACTATGTAGGTATTTAAATAATTCAGCATTATAGGCTGTTGTCTGGCCTTATTTATTTATTTATTTTTGAATGACAAGTGACTTTGTGACTTCTTGCACTTTATATTCAGTGCGATAAAGTACTACAATTTGTTGTAATATTTATTTTATTATAAATCAAAAAGCAAGACGTGAAAAAAACAGGGAGTTGAAATGGCAGCTGCAGCCAATGAGTAGAGCCCAAGGGCAAAGTGATTAGGCTATATTTCGTTTCGTTTTTTATTAAGTTAATTAAGGAAAACTTTTGGAGCATTTTTTGTTCGTTAAATAAGTTTTTGTTTTTTAAAGTAACGACCAAGCGGCCAGCGGCAGACAGTGAGCTGATCATAGCCTGAGGTCATAGCCATAGCATGTTTGATCAGTTTAGCCTTCTCAAATCATCACGACTTGCCTGAAATAAAATCTATCGATATAAAACAGTTCAAATAACAATTTTTAAACGTTAAACCTAGATAAATGTGCGCTGTTAAACGCATATCCAATAGTTTGTGCTGAGAGTGGAAGCTGAAGCGCGCTTTGAAGGACATGAAGTCGCCAGCGAGATCACTTGCATTTTTTTCAGTGGAAACAACTTTAAATACTTAAAAACTTTTTCTGCCGTTCGGTCTTGAAAAGGAGCGCTTCACAAAAATGAACCAAAACTCAGCGAATACACGCCTCACAAACATGATAAATATATCTATAGAAAGCTTTAAATTGCTACTTAACGAAACTTTTGCCGGTGCTTTGCGGCAAGCTTAAGCCTATTACGTGCATTTGAACCCATTTGAACGCAGAACTCTTCAGCTGCGCTGACGGCACGCTCGCTACTGCTGGTGCGGGACACTAAACACCGTCGAGCCGCTCTTGACAGTCGAGGTAGCACGGTCTCGTGTTGTTTCCACCAGCGCGGCATTGATGGATGTCTAAGATATTAAAATAAGGAGAAGCCTAAAACATGAATGAAAAGTGAACCTTTAATAAAGTGAATTTTACTGATGAGAAATAATAAAGGCTTTAAAATTTTAAAAGATTTTAAAAATGTATTCATGGCTATGAAGGTAGGATATTGATTATCGAGAATACCATTACGATGTCATTTAAGAGATTAGACTAACTGCCTAAACAGTTACGATATTGTTTATTTGTCAGAATTTAAATGTAGGCACACGACTTTCACAATTTGAGTTGAATTACTGAAATAAATGAACTTTTCCACGACATTCTAATTTATTGAGATGCACCTGTATATAAAATGAGCTTCACCAGAAGATTATGAGCTGGCTTATCTTTATCCGGAAGTTCTAAATAGCGCTCCGTGCATATGGTCAATTGTCACAGCAAAGGAACATTTAAAACAATAATTGACTTTCAATGGCACGTTGACAATGACCGGTGATTTTCCTCCCATTGCATTTGTAATCTCATTTAATGTTTCTGACTCCTCCATCACCTCATTTATGAGATTAAATAATAAAGGAAGCTGGAAACAAGAGCCTTTCATCATTAAACAGACTGTACTGAATGCACTGTTACCCATTTATACATTTTTTTTTGTCTCTGCATTTTGAAGGAACTGATACATTATATTTATTTTTTTTTTAAATCTTTAAAAACTAGCAGATGCCAATTGTCTGGTCCCTGTTAGCAAATTAACAGATGCTTTTACACATTTTTCAACACTTGTACCACACATGTAAATACCATATATTTAGTATTATAAAAATTGTTAAAAATATTAATAAAAAAGGGAAAAAACATCTTCATTACTACAAAACATATTGGAGGAAAAAACATACACCTCTCATAAATATGCCCAAGTCTAAATGTTTTATCTAGTTCAGATGGAAAGCTGTCAAAAGCTACAGAACCATTTTTGATAATTGCACTGAATAAATTCCTAAATAAAAAAAAATGTTATAAAGTGCTGCAAATGGCATTTGCACCATAAACAAGTAAACAAGCAGCAGGTTCAGGTTGCCTATAGTTAAAAAACACACGATTAACTCACAAATGGCAATGAAATGGATATTTTCATGAGGTAATGAGTGGCAGTTTGAACTTTGAAAATTACCAGCGCTAAAAGGGATGTTACATGCAAGGTACAGATATTTACCTACGCTCCCAAAAACGCAAGGTCAAGCGGTCAGGAAAAGAGCCATCATCCACATAGGAACCACAACAACAAACAGCGAAAATGGACAGGGGAGATGGATTTAACTCCCCCCACAAGCCAGAGGTCTCTAAACTGCTATCATGTACTGTTTACAACCATCCCGAGAGAAAGAGGGTAGAGGGAAAAAAGCGAAAAATGGAGAGATGGCGGAAAGAAAGGCTGAAAGAGGTTCTGAACGGAGCCGAACAGGCAGTGTGCACTCTTTCATCTCGTTTGTTTTCCTCAGAGGGGCTTTCTCTGAAGTCTTCAATAGCCAGCAAAGCATGTAACGAGGCAAGGCCTTTCTGCTGCTCAGAGGAGGAAAGGCAGGCCAGAGCCACTGTGGGTTTTCTCAGATAATCCTCTTAATGCACACAAATGGGGGTGGTTCTGGAAGGCTCTGTGGCGGGCAAACAGCCACCTCCGGACATCACTGCACCCTTTTGTGCTGCCATCATTTTGTCTCTGCCTTGGCACTTCTTAAACATGGTAAACGAAATCACACACCCACTCTACATGAGAAATATGGGCAACAAATAAATGATAGTGTTTAGGAATGATTGTTAGGAATAACATGAGTAAAGCTCAAAATAATATAAAACGTGGTGACGTATACCAGTGTTTCCCACACTTTTGTTAACATTTTAAGCCCTATCAGTAACATCAAACCATAAATGTGTTCTATTTTACTCAACTTATACTGGATATCATTTAGCATTATCATCTTTTTTTTTAAGTGTACATATTTAAGGTCACTCACTGAGCAGCTTCCTAGCTTTTTAATAAAACAGCGGAACTTGTTTGTCTTTCACTGAGAACTGAAAGGGAATATATAAGAGGAACTGTTTCTGAGAAAGATTTATTTTAAATCAATCCAGATGAGATATACAGTATATTTATTAATTAAAGGTGAAAGACCAAAATCCAAATCTTTCCAAATAACCCCGGAACCTGCACATACCCCTGGAATATATTAAAGACAAAGCCATTCAGACTTGACAGACAAATCTGACAGACATTTAAAAAAATAAATAAATAATAAACTAAAAAAATAACCCAAGGTCCCAGAACAAGAGAGCAATGGTGACGATATCACACGCCAGATTTCAGCTAGCTGACAGAGATGGGCAGTGAGGGAGGTGACGGTTGGTGTGAACAGAGAGAAAAATAACAGCACATTGCTGCTCTATGGCCCTGCCACCCACGAGCACCTCCTGACAATCTCACTCATGACCAACAGCTGAAAGCCCTGCACCAAATCAAGACTGCGCACTACTTTATATCAGGGGGGTTGATGCAAAGGCCAGCTAAATTATGGATCATTACAATCTGCAGAAATTACATTTAATTGCTGCCACCTGCAGAGGGTTTAACCTAGTACACATTTTTGTATTATCATGCAAAGGGTATTTTTCACTCCTGCCACACAGCTACAACTGTAATGGCTATCTGTTGTTGTCGAGGTTGAGGGAGAGTTTTAATTCGCCTCATGTCGTACACAAAACCCAATTTGCTTTCAATATAGGGTCTTCAGAAGGTTCAGT